GGACCATACATGATATCAGGAAAACCCCGAGAGGATACGTATCAAGTTAGCACTATGGAAGGTTGTGTTATCAGCACATACAAACAAATGAATATCAAGAAATATCATGAACCAGCAGCAACACGTAGTCCTCAAAATGACAATAATTCGAACAGTGAAGTTGTGCAACTCGAAAATGCATCACAAGAAGAGATTGACATGGTAGATGTAGCTGATACTGTTGAAGGTGAGCAGATGGATGCAACCTGCAACGTGGTTGAACCCCCTTTTCAACTTCTTTCCACAGACGTCAGTGAAAGTGAACTGTTTTTAACACAAGATACATTCAGAATCCTCAGTTCAGATTCTGGGGAATCTATTTCCATAATGACCGTAGAAAATAGCAGACCAAGAAGAAAGTGTCGTGATAAAAACAGACAGAGTAGCATTTATGAGTATTTTCATTAGGTTTATCTACACATGTATGCAGTCAGATGAGATGAAACCAATGTCCAAAATAAAGACAAATGATGCCAATCAAAACAATACTGTATTAAGTCCTTTTTTAAGGAACTTTCACACATGATTGCTTCTTGATAGCCACAGGATTTGTTCCATATGGAACAAATGCCGTGGGAGAAATCCTCTCTTCCTGTCCATTCCCTCCCCCCCAAAATAAAACACACCCCAATTTTTAATACTACCCCTACAAACAAAACCCTCTTTTAGACACTTTAGGATGTGTGTGGAAGTTCCTATTTGCCCGGAATAAATTCCGTGTGTGCGGAACAAAATATTTGTTCCGCATGCACTATTACAGGAACAAATATTGGATTGAAAAGTTCCGGCGGAACTTTTACTAGTGGGGAACCAAATCTTTTTTACAGGAGTATGGTGTGGTGAAATGTTTTCCAATGATTGCATTGTTGAAAGAGACTCCTGGGGTGGTCCAAGCATCATGGTGTGGGGTGCAATCGGTCTGAACCAGTTAGTTGACACCGTGGTGTTCCAGAATCTTGGTCCAGGATGAAGAAATGACATGGCAGCTGCTCGCTATATTGACCAAGTCATAAGAACTCCACGTTGTACCACATTATCTACGTTACTGAAATCACATCTTCCAGCAAGACTGCCACAATGCCAGAGCAACGTTGGCCTTCCTAAGATAGCGTGGCATCCAAACCCTACAACAACCTTGCACTCAGTCCGAATTTAAGTCCAGTAGAGCATCTTTGGGACGAGTTTCAAAGAAGACTGAATGGCCTCCAACCAAGGCCGACAACTACGGCTGGACTCGATCAGGCATTTCGCAAAGTATGGACCCAAGTGTGTATGACATTCATCGACCGTCTAATTCATTCCATCTACAGACGATTTCATCGATGCCCATAGAGGCCACACACATTACTGACTTTTGGGATATCTTAAGGGTACCATTTTTGGTGATTTTGTTTGTGTGATCTCTAAATGTGTTTCCCGAAAATGTGTTAAGTTTGAACTCAGTCCTCCGTTTTGATTGTTAATTAGAGTGAATTAAAGTCTGTGCTTTAAGAAACAGTGCGACATTTCTTTTGTGGTTCAGTATATTATAAATATCATTACTCCCTTAATCATAATGTGGGCGATTTTAGGAATCAAACACACGAAAACAGAACTATTACTATCTGAAGTTTGTAACTCATGTCTGACGTTATATTTCAGGGACAATGATTGAACAAAGCGGGGATAACAGCAGTGCATTTTTGTTTTCGGGTAGGTCGTGACATTTATTTATAATGTAATACCGTTGACGGTGTCTCCGCTGGACAGTCTAGTGAAAACGTAAAATTGCTGGAATATTGCTGAAAGCGGGGTAAAATTCATTCACACTTTACCAAAGAGGACATTCTGAGATATGAAATTGTAACATTGACCAGTGTTGATGAGATATTCCAGGGAAAGTTTGCTAGCTTTTATTATGTTTCATGTTAGTTTATTTCCCTTGTGTTGACATGTTATTATTTGTGCCTGTCTGTGCCACTACTGATTATAAGTATAAGTGAGTGAGTAAGTGAGCTTAATTGAACGCCGCACTCAGCAATATTCCAAGTTACACGGCGCGCGGGTGTGAGGTATAGGGTGTAAGGTACAGGGTGTGAGGTATAGGGTGTGAGGTACAGGGTGTGAGGTACAGGATATGAGGTACGGATTGTGAGGTACGAGGTGTGAGGTACTAGATGTGAGGAACGGGATGTGAGGTACGGGGTGTGAGGTACGTGATGTGAGGTACGGGGTGTGAGGTACGGATTGTGAGGTACGAGGTGTGAGGTAAGGTGTGTGAGGTACGGTGGGGGTGGGGTGGGGGGGTACGAGATGTGAGGTACGTTATGTGAGGTACGGATTGTGAGGTACGAGATGTGAGGTGCGGGGTGTGAGGTACGGTGTGTGACGAACAGGATGTGAACATGGAGATTTACTGTGTCTTTCCTCATACGTAATTCCCAGCAGGATACACGCTATCAATTTCGTCAAGATAGTTGTATGCAATGTCAGCCAATTGGTAAATAAACACCATTATGAAGCTGAACACAGTACATGTAGTTGATGTGGATGTACAACAACACAGATGGGAATGGTGTAACCAGTGTCGTTTGTCATGCCATGGGTAAAACAGACACACGCACGCGCGTACGCACGCACTTACACACACGTTTCCATGTCAGGGAAATCAGTCAAGTTAGAACAAACACAATTGTGGGCTACATTACATGGACCCGCCATGGTACAACAATAATACTGTTAAATATAGATCTAAGTGTCACGTACATCAAACATCAAACAGTTCAGTTTGTGCTTAGTATGATAGAGCTGTTCGCTATTCGATTATGATAAAACTCGCGCCTAAACATATAACCCGGAAGTGACCTGTATAACAAGGAAGCCGAACCTCCTGGTAGGTGTGTGCTGTGCCGTCGCCACATATTCCAGTAAAGCTGTCTTGAGATGGATATAGGTGCAGTGTAAATCAGCGAAATACATACGTGAGTATAATAGCTTGTGTAATTTCTATGCTGGACTTGAATTAAGTTAAGTGATCAGGCTATAGAGGTAAACCTTTTATTGTCACTCCAACTGGCGCCATTACTCGTGGTGTGTTACGCACGATACATGTCATATTACACTTACAAAACAAGGTCAACTCTATCTAACGTTGTGACAGTGGAACCGGGTGTCAGTTGGCGAATTAGGATCAGGCAGATTCCGTTTATTTACAAAACAATCACTCTGGCAGAAATCCTGTTGTCTCTTGACTGCATCGACCTTGAGGTCTACACTATCGTCGACTGTGTGAATACGGGCGTTGTCGTCGTCAAGTGACATTCAGGACAGGCTATTTTTAGATAAGTAGTGCAGGGGATCAATGGGACAGATCTATACCTGCGGCGTTTGTGTGCAGTCGGGTAGCTCGAGGTGCAGGAGTTGAGGGTGGATACATGGCTCATACTTAAGGAAGCTCAAGGTGTGAGAAATACGGGTGGAGTGTATGGTTAAAGCAGAAGGATGTGTGTGACATATAGTAGACTAACGTTTAGTCTCTGATTTTATTCTCTTAAAAAAGTAGGGGATCCTGAACTTTTAATTTGCAACGGAAATATAAGGGGTAAGCAGTTTTTCAAAGAGGGTTATCAAAAGATGATCTGAGGTATTGCGTTAAGCAGTTTTTCAAGAGGGTCAAAAAATGATATGAGGTATTGGGTGTAAGGTGCGGGATGTGAGGTACAGGGTGTGAGGTATAGAGTGTGAAGTACAGGGTGTGAGGTATAGGGTGTGAGGTACAGGGTGTGAGGTATAGGGTGTGAGATAAGGGTGTGAGGTACGGGATCTGAGGTAAGGGGTGTGAGGTACAGGGTGTGTGGTATAGGGTGTGAGATAAGGGTGTGAGGTACAGGATCAGAGGTAAGGGGTGTGAGGTACAGGGTGTGAGGTATAGGGTGTAAGGTACAGGGTGTGAGGTACAGGATATCAGGTACTAGATGCGAGGTGTGAGGTAAGGGTGTGAGGTACAGCGTGTGAGGTAAGGGGTGTGAGATAAGGGTGTGAGGTACGGGATCTGAGGTAAGGGGTGTGAGGTACAGCGTGCGAGGTACGGGGTGTGAGATAAGGGTGTAAGGTACGGGATCTGAGGTGAGGGGTGTGAGGTACAGGGTGTGAGGTATAGGGTGTGAAGTACATGGTGTGAGGTATAGGGTGTGAGGTACAGGGTGTGAGGTATAGGGTGTGAGGTACAGGGTGTGAGGTACAGGATATAAGGTACAAGATGCGAGGTACTAGATGTGAGGTACGGGATCTGAGGTAACGGGTGTGAGGTACAGCGTGTGGGGTACGGGGTGTGAGGCATAGAGTGTGAGATATGATATGTGAGGTACTAGATGTGAGGTACGGGAAGTGTGGTACGGGATGTGAGGTACGAGATGTGAGGTACGTTGTGTGAGGTATGGGGTGTGAGGTACGGGATATTAGGTACAGGATGTGAGGTACTAGACGTTTGGTACAGGATGTGAGGTACGGGATGTGAGGTACTGAGTGAGGTACGGGGTGTGAGGTACGGGATGTGAGGTACGGGGTGTGAGGTACAGAGATGTGAGGTACGGGATGTGAGGTACGGGATGTGAGGTACGGGATGTGAGGTACAGGATGTGAGGTACGGGATGTGAGGTACTAGACGTTTGGTACAGGATGTGAGGTAAGGTGTGTGAGGTACGGGGGGGGGGGTACGAGATGTGAGGTACGGGATGTGAGGTACGGGCTGTGAGGTACTAGATGTGAGGTAAGGGTTGTGAGGTACGAGATGTGAGGTACAGGATGTGAGGCACACATTACAATTTTCCTTTATCACCACCCGTAAACACATCTCATGGGATTCACCTGCACAACGCAGTAGCTCCCATACACGTGTATAGGGTGTTATTATTGGTTTTAACGGTTTTCAAGAAGTTCTTTAAATCACTGTAGATCGCTGACAATCATCTTGCATCTGAAAATGAAAATTGTACTCATGCAGATTTCACGTCATACACCAATCATGTTTCATGAACGACTACTGTACAGACAACTATGGTCAAACGGAAGTGCAAGTGGTGATGTACTCTCAAAACATTCATTATCATCATATCAAAGTAGATGGACTCGTTATATATCTCCAAAACATTTCAATCGTAATTTAAAAAGGAAGTTTTACAAACATCTCTCTCCTCCTCTCTTCACCCTCCTACCAGTACCCACATCTCTCCCCTCCTCTCTTCACCCTCCTACCAGTACCCACATCTCTCACCTCCTCTCTTCACCCTCCTACCATTACCCACATCTCTCTCCTCCCCGCTTCTCCCTCCTACCAGTAGGCACATCTGTCTCCTACCCGCTTCACCCTCCTACCAGTAACCAATCTCATCTCCCACCCGCTTCACCCTACTACCAGTACCCACATCTCTCTCCTACCGGCTTCACCCTCCTACCATTACCCACATCTCTCTTCTTTTCACGTCACCCTCCTGCAAGTACCCACGCCTTCCTCCCCCACAGCTCTCCTTCCAACACGTACCCGCCTCTCCTTCCTACACATAATCGCCTCTAGTTCCTCACCGCTTCTCCCTCCTACCAGTACCCACATCTCTCTCCTCTTCACTTCAGCCTCCTACCAGTACCCACATCTCTCCTCTCTTCACTTCAGCCTCCTGCAAGTACCCACATCTGAGGAAATCTAGACTTGCTTAGTTAGGGCTTTAGCATTGAAAAAAGGCTCTCCTTCATACACATAATCGCCTCCCCTCCTCCCTTCTCCACTTCAGCCTTCTACCAGTACCCACATCTCTCTCCTCTTCACTTCAGCCTCCTACCAGTACCCACATCTCTCTTCTCTTCACGACACCCTCCTGCAAGTACCCACGTCTTCCTCCTCCCCAGCTCTCCATCCAACACGTACCCGCCTCTCCCTCCAACACATAATCACCTCTGCTTCCTCACCGCTTCTCCCTCCTACCAGAACTCACATCTCCCTTCTTCCCAGCGCTCCCTCCACCCTGCTCTCTCCCATGTAATCAGTCGGGTAAGAATAATTAGAGTACTGGACCTTTCTTCCCACAGTACTATGACTTAATATTCACAAGGCGCGTGTGTCCCTTACTCCATTCCATTATGACAAAACTCGCTCATAAGCCTGTAACCCGGAAGTTACCTGTACAACAAGGAAGCTAGACAAGCAGGTGAATACTGTACTGTCTCGACATATTCCAGAAATTCCTTCTTGATGTAGCTGTATTTGGTTAATTTTCAGCGCAATACATGCGTGAGTATAGTAATTATGTAATTTCTATGTCGACCTTCATTTAAGTGTTCACAATCAGGCGTCAGGGCAAACAGGTAAACCCTTCATTGTCACTCCCACCTCAGACGCCATTACTCGTGGTGTGTTGTACACGCTGCATGTTATATTGCACTTACAAAACAAGGACAACTCGACCTAACATTGCCACAGAGATACAGGGTGTTACTGGCATATATTAGGATTAGATACATTCCGTTTCTTTACAAGTATCAAACTGGCAGAGCCCAGTTGTGACTTGACAGCAGTCAAACTTGAGGTATGATATTATTGTGGATCGTAGTGCATGGGCGTTTTCGTCGTCAAGCTACAAGTAGGACAGGCTATTTTTAGGCGTTTCATGGTGCTTGTGATCACCGAGAGAGTTCTGTCATTGGGTGACTGCGGGTGGTCGGGTAGATAAAGGGGCATGAGTTCGGGGTGGATAAACAGTTGATGTTTCTAGCCAGCTCGAGGTGAGGGAAATATGGGTAGATTGAATAGTATATTGTGTGAGGTAGAACAAGTGGCGTAAGGGTAGCCTAATTGTTAAAGTGACTGCTCGTCATACTGATGACCAGGGTTCGATCACGGGTACAGTGTGTGAAGCGGCGATAATACATACTCACTCACTCATGGTATATTATTGGGTTGTGCTCAGTCCCAGGCGAGTTGTTAGGCGTGAGTTAGTACTGTTGTCTCTTTGTTGTAATTGATGTTATGCCTTTGGTGAACAGGAGTGTGTTGGCGGCGGTACCAGTCCTTGCACCTACAGCTAATTTAAAGGCAATTGTTAATGTATTTGTATTTGTTTGCTATTTATTGGAAAAGGGCAAATTCGTTGATGGACTCTGTCTGGAAGTTGAGGGACAAATAAGGTGAAGAAATATACATCTGATGAGCAAATAAAACAAATTAGCATTGAGCTTAGAGTAAATTAGGATGGAAACAAGCCATGCACAAGTTGAAGAAAGATATGTTTGACTTGTGAGAGTCCGGTAGTTGATATTGTCTAGAATTCGTGACGAGGCCGTGTCGGTGTAGTTGTCGGTCCCAACTGTGTTCATGTATGAACTCACAACGCCGTTTAGAAAGTGAGCAGATGGAACCTGTACTATATTTGGGATTACACTTTATCAGGAAAGTACTGATTCTAGTACTGAGGTTAAGTCCCATCCGAGATTCGAACCCACTCTCTTAGTGTGAGAGTTAGAGTCACTAATCCTGCCTTAGCGGACCCATCTGTTTGAATGACTTAATGGATATGATAGAGCGGTGGGTAGCCAAGTGGGTAAAGCGTTCGCTCGTCTCGTCAAAGGTCTGGGTTCGATCACCACATGAGAACAATGTGTGAAGCCCATTCCTGGTTTCGCCCGCAGTGATATTGCTGGAATATTGCTAAAACCCAATTCAGTTACTTACTCACTCACTCAATAATGGATATAGTAAACTATGTCTAAGACTGGGGTTTACAGGGTTGTTCTCTTCTAGTCCTCACAAGGGTTGTTGCCTCTTTCCCCTTCATTGATGTAGTGAAATGTGTTTGCCGGAGTTTTACTGAAAATCATACTTCATCATGGGGAAGTGCTATATTCCAACGCATATATTTTCTTCGAATTAGTTTGCCATTCTTGATAAACTGTTCATATTATTTTATTGAAGTGAATTAGGACAATGATATGTTTGTTTCAGAATGGACGACTTCCCCAAATGTTCTGTCTGTCAGCAGCAGCTTACCCTGAAGGGCCCCGCCCCTACCTACTGCCCTGTCTACACGCTGTGTGTGAGACATGTGTGACATCTGCAGCTGGTGGTGTGATATCATGCTCCACATGTCAGAGGGAGGTCAACCTCACAGACACAAGCCTCCAGAAGGATGCAGTGAGACAGAAGGAAATATTCCATCTGACAGTCAAACATCGCCCCACAGAGCTTCTCTGTACACATGAAGATGACGGCAACCAGGCTGTGTGTTGGTGTCAGGACTGTGAAGAGTTACTCTGTGAATACTGCCAGAACATGCACAACAGCTTTAAAGCCACCAGACGACATGTTGTTGAAACCATTGTGGACACAGCACCAGGAAGCATGCAGGCTGAACCAGTTTGCAAACTTCACAAACGTTATCCTCTGGAATATTTTGATAAAAGCTGCAACATTTTAATCTGTACGAAATGCAGACTTGGCGACCATGCTGAACACGACGTTGAAGATTTAGACGTAGCTTCTGACCCTGCTCAAGGGCGGATAGAACAACATGGGAAGAACATGACTGCACATCATACGTCTCACCAAGCATATCTGAAGAGCATCAACAAAGCCGTGAATGACACCAAGAAGACAAGCAGTGCTGTGAAGGAGACCATCCACCACACTTTCCATTCTCTGAGGACACAACTGGATCAAAGAGAGAAGGAGCTGATCATCGATCTTGACAATCAGACGAAGCAGGAACTGGCAAATCTACACACAGAGCAAGTTACCTCTGAAGGCGAGAGTGAACGATGCAAGTGGACCTCAGACTACATCAAGACAGTGCTCAGATATGCTTCAAACTCGGACTTTCTGACACTGGAGAGTTCAATACAAGAAACAGCGAAGACCCACCTCAGATCAGTTCCACCAGAGCTGCACCATTCACCTGCAGCCACCTTCAACATGAGAGGACTGGAAAAATTGAAATCCGACATTTCTAAGTTTGGGTCTGTCGTTGGAGATGGATCAGCATCTGATGAACACACACTGAGGGGTACTTACTTCTTGCTCTGGCAATATATGTTACTTCTGACTCAATATGTCACACATTTGATTTTTCTTTCAGTATTTCCTAGCATACTGTCAAGTATTTCTTAACATGCTTTGTCAGAAAAAAATGATAGCTTGTTGATGTTTCTCTTGACCATTCATTTAATTTGATTTTAAGATGGTGAGCTGATGCTAGTTCTATTCCTTTCTAACACAAACTCGGTGAAACATAAAATGATTAATTGGTAACAATTGTGGGTTATTTTACAGACAGAGGTACACAGACAGATGACATCCATCTACCTGACCCGGAGAACACACTCAAGCATGTAAGTACTTCTTAGTAAGCATACGTATATACGTCTCGTAGTCTCTGAGGTAATAATTATTGTCACCTGCGTACATATAATGTTCATATTGAACTTATGCTTGTATGTTAGAAGTGAAACAAGCCTACTGTTTTGTGAATCTTGGATTGCGACATTGAAATACTTCCTTTTGTTTCAAGTTGAAGCTTCCAGAAGCCTCTAAAGATCCAACACCACTACCACAGTTTGGTGAGGTTACTTGTCATTACTTTGCAAAACGTAAGAATGGAAAATAACGTTACTGTATGTGTCCATTTATTTTTCATGCCATAATATCAGAAGCACATACTTCTAACTCCTGTATGATTTAAACAGAAATAGTTATGAATGGGCAGAAGATGGACCCATAAGCTATTTATCCAAAGGATATCTTAGTGATTAATATTTGAACAGATCTTGGTCTTTTCATGTTGATATGATACTGTGATACTTGTACACTTAAGGGCAAAAATCTGATACGTTATCAATACCCGTTTGTAATGGACAGAAGCTGAGGCTAAACAATGTTGAAATGTGACTTTACTGACATTACAGGGACCCAGGTCTGTCTTAGCAGATACTTTGTTGTGTACAAAGTTGGAGTACCTCTCATTTTGAAACAAAGAAAGTCCCAAATATCGAAGTTACTGTTATGTCTTAATGTGTATGAGCACGGCTATTTTTGTTCTTCATGCTAGAGAATATTTTGCAGATGCGGGGACGAACACCTACAGTCTGGAATCAGGAACAGGGACCACGTTGACTCTGCAGTGTGAGTATAATCAGTTGCTTGCTTGAACTTGCTGTAACACCGATAGGTTACTGGATGAAACGTTCTTTCCTGACGTGTGACGATGTCCAGGTTTGCTGCTGAAACCCTATGATATTGTGGACCTTGTGTACCATTGGAATCCGACAGGGGTATTGTTTTAGTGATCCCCGTCTTCTGAACAACGGATATGGTACTGGATGTATTCAGGTTTCCGTATCTTCTGAACAAAGGATATGGTACTGGGTGTATTCAGGTTTCCGTATCTTCTGACCACAGGCTGTGGTACTGGATTTGGTCTTAAGGTTTGATCGTTAGACCTCAGACTGTATTAGATGTCGTGATGGTGCCCGTCCTTTAAACACTCATTATAGCGCTAGGTGTAGTGATGGCCGCCTTTTAACACACACATTAATGATGTCCTCCTTTAAACTCATTATAGCGCTGGGTGTAGTGATGTCCGCCTTTAAACACTCATGGGTATAGCGCCTGGCGCTGTAGTGATGTTCGCCTTTAAACACTCATTATAGCGCTGGGTGTAGTGATGGCCGCCTTTAAACACTCATTATAGCGCTGGGTGTAGTGATGGCCGCCTTTAAACACTCATTATAGCGCTGGGTGTAGTGATGCCCGACTTTAAACACTCATTTATAGGGCTGGGTGTAGTGATGTCCGCCTTTAATCACAACATATGGTACTGGATGTTACGGTCTTGCTTGCTCTTTAAACAAAGGACACGTTACTTGGTGTATTGATGCTGAGCCTGATTTGATATAGGGGGTTCGGTGGTACTAGTTTTTCCTATTTAATTTCGTTTAAACACCGGAGTGAGTGAGGTTAGTTTTACGCCGCACTCAGCAATATTCCAGCTATATGGTGGCGGTCTGTAAATAATCGAGCCTAGAGACGACAATCCAGAGATCAACAGCTTGAGCATC